GTTTATTTAACTGGCTACTAATAAGACGCGAAAGATTTTTAATCCAACAATAGTGATATTTAATTTCATCGATTGAATCATTATCTTCATTTGCTGGCGCTGGTGGAGGAGCATCATAATCATTTAAACGCGGATAATATTTATTTTGAGCTAAAAGTAAATTAACATGCGTATCCCGTTTATTTTCCGTTAATCTTGCTGGTACTACTATGTAAAATGATTTTTTTTCTGTTTCGATCAATTCTAAAGCGTAAACATTGACTGAAATGTTATTCATCTTTTCAAATTTTGAAATTTTTGTTAGCAGCATAGGACTATCTAAATTTTCTGTTTGTAAAACGTCAGTAAAGTGTGGATATGAGGAGGTTAGTTCTGCATGTCTTTTTTTGCTAGGAGTCCGAAGAGCGCTTACAATGGCCCAGTAAAAGCAATTTTGATCTATATTTTTAATGTTTATACAAGCATTTTTCCTTATAATCGGTTCTGGTAGTCTAATATAAGATGAACCGTTTCCCAATTGATATTTACTGATATTAACAACTAAGGAAATAATTTTATTTAACGCAAATCCCGAATCTTTTTCAGCAAATTCCGATAATTCGTTTAAAAGTTTATCTTTCACATATATCTTAAACCACTCGTCTATTTGAGTTGATGTATCAATAATATGATTTTTAGTATTAATATATTTAATTCCCAAAATTTCATTATCCCCCGATTTCCTAATAAACTCCCCGCAAAATGTTGTATTTACTTTGAGCGCACAATGGGTGTTCAAAATATTCCTAATTTTCCTTTTAAAAACAACTACACAATCTGCTAAAAATTGATTCAAGTCCTTATGACGCAAATTAGCTATGGAACCGGTTTTTATTCTACTTTGAAAGCTCGATTCTACATTTTCCCATCTAACCCTCTGACCCAATGTTAAGTGAAGTCCTGCCCCAATATGTCTAGTTAAAATCAACTTTCTAAAATGTTTAAAATGCCCCAAATTTGTTTCTACTTTTCTACAGGTCCCTACAGATAATTTATTTTGCCTTCTACTACGAATTACCCGTTTACATAATCTAATTTGTTTTTCTATTCGTTTCAGCCACACTTCCGCGTCTCTGATTGTAAAATTATCAAATAAAATTTTCCGTAGACTAACAATTGATAGTAGAACACCGTCTGTTTGTTTGATGATCTTTTTAACCTTATTTGAAGACATTTGAAAAGACGACATTTTTTTTTTTCAAGCAAACACATTACTCAAAAATATATAAAAATGCTCACCCTGTCCTCCTCCTCCTGTTCTCTGCTTTGTTAATTTTCCACTATTTTGAATGATGCTAGCGGTCGGCTTTTCCCTACGTCCACTTCCCCTTGGAAGATGATCGAGTATTTTCCGTGAAAAAGTTCGTCGATGACCGGCTGGTACGTTTCCGTCACCCGCTGTGGTAGAAATAGCACTTCCGGTCCTAAATCTAGTAGCACGGCTTCCCCAAATTTCGACTTGACCACTTTAGCTGCTTGGATTGCAAATGGTGTCCCAACTGGTAGGTCCTTTAATTTTCTGATAGGTTTGCGGTCTACAATCGAAGACGCAGCATTAATTTTTGATAAATCCATCTATAAAAAAAATTGAGTCGTCTAACTATTTTGAAGCATAACACGAAAAAAAAACAGTTGCATTTAGAGACATAAAAAAGAAAAATATTAAATAAAATAGCACTTACTTTTTTTAAAATTTTCGCTATCTCGTCTCTCTCGAAGCACTATTGTATCCAGCTTGCAGCGTTGTGCGTTAAGTGTGAAACAATGATGACTATTGCATGCGCTCGCTAAATATAAATACGTGGTTGAGATAACACACGCGTGCATGAGATAATTGTATCGTAAATATGCATATTATATGCATCATATTCTCAGTACCATTTTTATCGAGAAAACAACATTCATTGCGGTTGCAGTATTTTTTATATAATTTCTTAGTAATACATGAATGTATCGTTTGTCCGGCGGAAATTCCAATTACAAGTTGCACATGAGAGTAGAAATTTAGAAATATAGTAAATTCGTGTATGATTATTGTATATTTGCTGCCTAATTTTTTTTCAGTCAAGATTTTGATTGGGGGGTAAACGAATTTATATTTGCTATCTGAGATTTTTGACATCATTCTCTATCAGGTGTTGGTTCATGAAATTGGACATGCTCTCGGCATAGCACATAGTGCTTCTCCGAATGCTATTATGTTTGCCTTCTATCAGCATGAGATTCGTGGTCTAGATGTTGATGATATAAATGCAGTACAATATCTATATGGAAGAAAAAACAAATATGATTCAATCCCAACGTCTACCACCGCATCAGCAATACCAAAAACAACAACAACTATAAGATCTACAACTCGTAAGCAGCCGATCCTCAAAAATTTGTGTGATATTATTCCAGATTTTATGTTTTTAGCTATTGCTCCAGAGTTTTCAAATTACCGATTATATATTGCACATGATATGTTTATATGGAAACTAGACTTAAACGAAATGATTATCCCATCTCAGCCTGAACTTCTTGTCGATTATGTTCCTACAGAATTACGTCAATACACTTTACAACATATTTTCCAATCAACAAACGGTGACTTGATTACCATTGTGTCTCCAAACAACTATTTCTCAGCATCATTCCCTACCATTAAATTTCTTGATAATTTTTCAATTGATATACCCGATAGGGCTCGAATCAATGCTATTTTTCAATCAAACGCAGGACGGTCCTATACCTTTTATAATAATATGTCATATATAGAATTTTCTAACGATTTTACTGATGTGTTGAACAGAGGACGGATAAGAGACATATTTCCTGGGTTACCTGAAGTTTAGGGAAAAAATTAAAAAACAACCAGAACTGAACCGTGAAATACATAATTTGATTCTTGTCTGTCATGAACCAAATCAGTTGTCGAACAATGATTTGAGTCGATTAGTATCAACATCTAAAGTACTCCCTGATATGTAGTTTTATTGAAAATACCTCTGGTTTGCGAAATAATATTGTCGGAATTTCTTGTTGCAAGTTGTTCAAGCGCGGGTATTCAAAACATGGCACACACACACACACCAATCAACCTTATTGTTATATATACTATATGTTTCAATAAAATATCCATTATACTATTTTCATTTTGAACGGTATCATCCTGTATAATAATAACAGTACATCGTATACAGGTTATGAGACATTCTGACCGACCGACCGACCGACCAGAGGAGCCCACCACGCTATTTAGGTCACGCCTTGCTATATACGATTTAACGATATACCGTCGGTCCATCGATCCGCTATTTTTCGATGCACCCCTGTATACACGTTCTGAATGCCCACGCCAACACCAGACAGGTGCGACATCGGCGCCATCTATGCGCGAGATGCCCAACCCATCAATGGCAGCTATCCAATGACACATAGATTCCGTTTGGTTTGTACAGCGCCAAACAAATCGGCGCCATCTATGCGCGAGATGCCCAACCCATCAATGACAGGTGTCCAATGACACATAGATTCCGTTAGGTTTGACAGCGCCATCTAGCGGTGGAATCCCCAACTCATGATTACAGATTCCGTCCAACAACCTGTCAATGGCGCGCGACGCCAGCGCCTCTGGTGGCGGATTTTGGAAGTTTTGAGACCGAATCCCCATAAGACATCTACTCATAAGAAACGAAGCAATAGAAGTGGGGGTTTTAGGACAAGTTTATGTAGATCCTACGTTAAGTACCCGCAAATTGGAGACTGTGTGTGGTGTTAGTCGATGTACTGTCCAACGAATTCTAAAGGCCCATAGTTTTCAACTGTATAAAATTTACCTGGTACAAGAACTTAATGAAGACGATTTTGGTCGGCGATTACAATGTTGTGAAGATATGAGTGAACGAATTATAAACGATGAACATTTTCTATTCAACACTTGCTTTTCCAACGAATGTTCCTTTTTCTTAAATGGCGTAATAAATCGTCATAACTGCCGATATTGGTCCGATTCTAATCCCAGAATTTATCATGAGGTTGATACACAGCAGCCACAAAGATTAAATGTTTGTGCTGGTATTTTTTGCGATCATTTAGTTGATCCTTTTTTCTTACCTGGAAATTTGACCGGTGAATTGTATTTGGAATTACTGGAAGACGGCATAGATGCTGCATTAACAGCCATAATTGAAAATCAGAATGATCGGCGGTACATTGCGAATAGGTTGATGTTCCAACAGGATGGTGCCCCACCACATTACGCATTACGTGTTCGACAATATTTAGATCAGACGTAATAAATACTAAACAGCTATTACAAAGCCACATTATGCTGAAGTAGGGTATGGACTGCCCAACTTGTACACCTTGTATCTCGGAAACTACTTATGGAAAAAACTTTGGATCCATGGTCATTTTCATGTTGAGACTATAATTTTTAAAGAAATTAACTGAAAGCCATTCCCCATAAGGTTTCTGTGGGGTCTTTTGTATGCCACTGATAAGACTGTAAATTGAGGACTAAACATAAATTTAGACCTCCAGATAATGTAATGTACTACATATACTGTTCTATGTCAAACTTCACCAATTTTAATATTGATATGGATTTTACTTCAAATATTTAAACTATATTTCTATAAAGGGCATGGTGTCACCAAAATTTCTCAAGAGAGACAATTCATGATAAATGTCAAATACCTTATCCAAAAATGAGAAAGACATTTAAAAAACGTCAGCTGTGTACAAAATGTTTTTTCCTTCTGCTGGGCTAAAATATTCCAATTTTTGTATATTTTTGTACTACAAAAAAATTTAAGTCAGTACCCTTAGATTATACCTTTTTAGTCCAGAGATATATTTTTTCTTGACCTACATGATTATGTATCTGTGTTTTTATAAGAATTTTTCTTGTTATTCTTTACCTAGAATTTTGGACGTATTGTCATTATTTTTTTAATCGCCTGGTTTACTTTTACCCTGATAATAAAATATTGCTTTTAGGTAAAGTGACTCAGATCCATGAGAACTTTGGCTTGGTTGATGAAGAGGTGATATTTCAGATGAGTGCATGTGTGAAGGGATCGAATCCTGTAGTGGGTGATCGAGTTCTAGTGGAAGCATCATATACCCCCAACATGCATTTCAAGTGGAATGCTACTAGGATCCAGGTAAGCTACATGTTCTTAAATATTTCACATAAGCGATACAACAATCTGAGATTTATTCCAGCTGTTTTGTCAAAATGAGTACAGTCTACGGAAAGCAAAAGTTCGGCAATTTTGGCCTAACAGACAATGTTCAAAATCGCTTTAGAATAATCTCCAAATACGTATCGGGGTCTTGTAAAGCAAGGTTTAAACTTTGATTAGGTACTTGTCGACCTCAAAAATTAGAATTAATAAAAAAGCTTTTAAGCTTTGAAACCCTCTTATAAGGCTTCAGGTATTAAATCGCTTATCACTTGAAAATGGCCAATTTTAGAGAAAAGTCGATGGAAGCTTTTTTTGTTCGGAGTGATTTAAATAACCCAAAAAATCTACCTGGGCGGGTGTTATAAATATCGTTTAAACATATAACTTTTGAGGTCGCCAAGTATCTGTTGTAAGTTAAAACCGTGGAATGTATTTTGAGGTTAGTTTATCGTAAAGCGATTTAAACCTTGTTTTTCAGGCAAAAATTTATGTATGTGTTTTGCAGATTTTACTATTATTTATATTTTTGCGTTTTGGCCAATTATGGCTTAGATTATTTTCACTCAAAATGTATAAAAAGGCTAATGATTTAGGAATATCGTTTCCTTAACATTGTGCAGATATTGATGTTCATCATATCACATACAGGGTGGCCCGATAAAAAAGGTCGCACCCCCATTTGTGACTCTCCTGTATATTTTGGGAAAAATGCTCGGACACGTCAATTTTGATTTCTATGGGGATGTATTATCATATAAAGCCGTACAATGAAGGAAGGGTGATCCACAAATAAGGTATTGCGATACACTTTAGAATTTCAAGTGGAAACCACCATTTATTTCAATTTTTGGATTTTTGAGTTGATTTCTAATTAGCTCTGTTAACAAGTGGCATAACTATTGCTAAAACTAACCATTTAACTCAACTCAAAAAATATCACAGCCCTAAACCTGATGGTTTAGTTGTAATTGCGATTGAAAGTTCATTATCCCGTTTTTTTCAAAATTTCACAAAATTGCAAATATCTCCCGAACTATAAAATTTTTGATATAGGGGTTCATTCGATAGGTTTTGAGGCCCTCTATCACCTGACTTCCGTTGATCCACTACTAACTTCACACCCTGTATATACGAGTATTGTGACTTGTGACAAATCTGACTAAAATATTAGCTATATAGGTTGCACTTAAAAAGTGTAATTTGAAAAGTTTGTAAAGCTTGACTGATCTTGTTAGGGGTTGGTGCTGCAGCGAAGCACTATGTTAGATGAATACCTAATTTGGAAATAGACATTTATGAGATTTGTTTAGCGGTGCGCATGCTGCCTGTCCAGAAAATATGTGAATCGATGCTCAAAGTCAATACCACCGTCCCGCGTATGTGTCTATTTATGTTGCTATATTGAATTCGTTTAAATCACAGAGCTTCTGCACTACACATGAATATGTACAGCCCTGTATTCATGTACTTGCTTCTTACAAACATACATTATCAAAATAACATTTCTATATGCGATCAACACCGATTCGAAAACTGAGAAAACAACTATGCCGTAAATTTAAGTTCGACAACGAAAGTCAGAAAAATAACTGTAACATCTATATTGAATTCCAAAAAATAATTGACTATACCTATTGATATTCTTACCACCTGCTGATATAATGGAAGTGCGTCATTGTGTTAAGTATTTGCACCATTTACTTGATTTGTTTAATGGGCAGTTCAGAGCCTTAATCCTTAAGTTTAGTACACACTAGTAGACCCCATTGCGCAACTTGTCTATAGGAAGTCTGGAGACAGTCTCAAGGCACGATCTATAGATGGTCTATAGACTTCCTTATTTGTCTCGTCTAGCGCCAATACGATAATGTGACTGGGATATGTCTCGGGATCCCTCAAAATGTTTTTTTTTCGGTTAACAGCAGTTTTTTAATTTAATACTATCACACTAGTTAATTATAAATGCCACGTACTTATTTTGTTATCATATAATAAAATATTACCTTTCTGAGCATTTTCCATGTTTTTTTTTGTCAAGCGGGCCTTGACAAGATAGAACACAATGGATTTAAGGAGCAATAATAGGATAAATTCTAGAAGTTCCACTGAGGTTGAAAAATGACCAGTCCCAAATATCGTTTGCGCCCCCCCCTAGACGAAATCCTGAATCCACCCTTGCTCTGCATCAACAGCACATAAAGTACCCCAATACAATGCTTCTGCGATACAACAAGGATGCCAATGGCAATTGTGCTCAAATAGGAGGATTGATAGTTGATGGTGAAGACTGAAGTTATGCAGTGAAAAAAGTGCAACCAAAAATTAGAGAAAGCATTATCGTGACTACTGGTACTGAATAGAACCATTACCCCCATATACTGACTTGTTTTCTTGGCAACCGTTGAGGTTTTGGCTTTGTGTCTATCGATGCATGTAGTCAGGGCGCCAAGATATCCGACATATCACAGATTCAGTCAAATTAATCGAAACCACTTATCCAAGTATAGCAGATGTGTGGGAAGAACAGATATCTAGTTGGGCAGCGTATAACTTGGGACCCGTTGACTTTTTGGTCATGTTCCCTTTGAGACATGTGTTCAGGACACCAAGACACATATCATCTCCCAAATTTAGTGATATTCACCGAAAGCTCTCTTCCAAGTAGAGCAGATGACTCAGTAGGAACATACTCCCAACATACCGAATTAGACGGCCCATATCTTGGGACCAGTTGTGATTTGGAGCATGTCTCCATTAAGAAATTTGTTCAGGATACCGAGACACAGAACAAAAAACATGCTCGAGTAGAACCGGTACCCTGACTGGGACGGCTTATATCTTGGGACCCGCTGAGGTTGGGGCCCTGCGCTCATTGAAACATTTGTTCAGGTTGCCAAGATGCATTACGTATGAAAAATTCAGCGAAATAACGGAAACCACTCTTCCCATAGGCGTGTCCGGGTGCTTAAAATTTATCATTGAAAATAAGAAAACTGACCTCTCATCCATACATCCAAAACACAATGCTTGGGAGGAATTAACAAAAATATATAATGAGAGCAATACAGCTAAAAGTATGAGTAAGCAGCTAAAAAAATTATGGGATAATATCAAACAAAGGGAAGTGAACAGCCCATTCTATGAGCCTTACCAATTGAGAAAGATGCATTTGTAAAAATTAATTCATAGAGACTGCTGTTTTTCACCTATATGTTGCAAAATAGTTCTTACCTTTGTTTGATGTTGTCCCATAATCTTTTGAGTTATTTGCATGTTATTATGTATGTATTGTATTATTTTGCGTGTTAAAGGATTCTGAAATTTGTTCTTCAACGTTACTAAGGAGCTACCTGTTTTTATTTCCAATGATCCCTTTAAATTTGACTAGTATTTTGAGGAAGCAGACACATTGTTGTTTTGTGTTTTTTATTGATAATAAACCAAATCGTCCAAATTTGATCTTAAAAATGCTAAATAGATACGGCCAGCAAAGAAAAATTTCTCTGACATCGATGACAGCTTGTGATCCGAACTGCTACAGACTATTGAGGAAAGAAAATTTGAATTCTCCCCTGAACGTTCCTCAAGGAAGCGTTGCTTCACTGTTTCCAGGGAGATGTCTGATATCCATTGTTTCCAAGGAAACCTAGCTCCACTCTGTTTATACTCAAATATGTGATTATTTTATGTCCAATAATATTCTCTCCGAATGCCAATCGGGATTTAGAGCGAGTTATAGCAACAGCTCTGGCTTATGGCTCAGATGACATTATCAGAGAACAGGATGGTGTAAAGCTGCTTGTCATTTTATTAGATTTCTCAAAAGCCTTCGACCACTCACTTTTATGTTCTAAATTATCCTACTACAGAATTACATTTCTTTGAAACATATATTTCTGAACGTCAGCAAGTGGTGCACTTGGATAACCAATACTCTAATCCTTGCCTTGTTACATCCGGTGTTCCTCAAGGGTCAGTACTTGGTCCAATATTGTTTTTACTGTATACAACTGATATTCATACGGTTATATCTGACCCTTCTCTACTAACTTACGCCGATGATACGCAACTATATAAGTCTCTTATCCCCGAATCTACACATCAAATGTAATCTCATGCTGTTTTGTTCTAATAATCTCTGTCCAACTTTATACCATTCCTTAAATATACATATTGATGGAGTAGCTCTTCCAGTGGTGGACAAAGCAAAGAATTTAGGAGTAATATTTGATGAATCTTTACGTTTTAAGGAGCATGTTGCTAATAATTTGAAAAAAGATTATATTGTTCTTAAATGCCTTTATACTAATAAATATATATTGAATCTAAAAACTAGGAAAAAACCTTGTGAGACGCTCATCTTTCCTATACTCTCTTGCTGCTTGTGTGGTTTATTACTCGTGTTTCGATGCTGCCACTAAGAACAGGATGCAAAAGCTGCAAAACAGTAGATTTGGTTTTAGTTTAAAGAAGTACGATAATATATCATGTTACATTAGTGAGCTGGGTTGGTTTTGTATAGACGAAGCTTACAAATATCAAATGCTCACTCTTACCCATAAAATATTGATTACATAATCTCTTTCCTGTCTTTATAAAAAGTTTTTATCTTACCGTAGTAGGACGGAATTCAACTTCAGATTTAAGAATCGCCTAGAAATCCCTCTTTACCGTAGTACATTTTTCAGTGGGTCGTTTATTTATAACTCTATTAAAATATACAATGAAAGTGAACATTTGAAAACTCTGTCGGTGTATAGTATGAAAAAACAAGCCAAACAGCTTTTTCTACATCGTTAGCGTTACCTTAGCATATTGATTTCAGTTTATTCTTATTCTTTATCTTACCTTATTTTGTTTTTCACTCATTTATTGTGGTTTAATTTCATAATATCCTATTTCTCAAACATATTTATAAAATTTTTGTTTGCGTCTTTTTTATACGCTTGACAATGCTTATATGTTACAATATTCTTCTTATTCTTATTCTTTGAAAGGAACTTCCCACCATAGACAGGAGGTTGATAGTGATGATGACTTACCTACATTCAAAACGACCACATTCTATAATTTACTCAATGAACTCCATTTTGAGTATATAAAACGGACCAGAAATAGTATTTTGATGGACAGTCAAGATATTATTTTATGCAGAAGAAATTATTTAACATCAATAAAGAAATACCGCGAACAAGGCAGGGAGATTTATTACTTGGAGGGAACCTGGATAAATGCAGGACATACAAAACCTGAAGTATGTGTTGACTCTACAATTAAATCAGCAAGACAAGCCTTCTTAGATTCGTTATTTGTGTTGTAAAAATGGTGTCAAGTGACTGAATCTATGAGCCCACGCTGAAAATTTAGCTACACTAAACTTAGCTATATCTGGTAGATTTAGAACCAACACCTGTTAGATACTCTGCTTGTATTATTGAACGGAAAAGGACGGGAGTTCATTTGAACGATGGTTTGAAGAAAGGCTCCCAAAGCTTGACGATAAGGCCGTCATTGCACTTGACAATGCTGCATACCACACTAGAAAACGAGAAAATATTCCCATAATGTCCATAAGAACGGCAGAAATTCAACAATGGCTCCTATCAAAAGACATTAGTTTCAATGAAAATATGGTCAAAGCAGAACTTATTCATCTAGTCAGGCAGCACAATTTTAAATATAATCTTAATGTTATTGACGAAATGGCTAAAAACCAAAAGAAGACCCCTTATCTCTGCGAATTAAATCCCATTGAAATGATTGAAGCAAATATAAAAACTATGTGGCTTCAAACAATAGAACATTCAAATTTTCTGAAGTGATATTTTTTTATGAAGCTGTCAAGAGAGTGACGGTAAACCATTGGAAAGATTCCATCTGTCACGTTCAAGCGACAATCGGAACAGCGATGTGGGAACTTGACAATATGATCGATATTCAAGTTGAACCTGTAATAATTAATATTAACCATTCGGACGATGATTCAAGTACTTCCAGCGAATAAAGAATTGTGAAAAATATGTGCGCTTCTTTCTATAAAAATAATCATGCATTTTGTTAGATTATTCCAAGACCATTGAGGAAAATACAGACCTGTACAATCTCGCTTTTGGGTATGTTGTGTTTTGGCTGGGCGTGAATGGACTACGAATGGGGTATAGTTACCAATATTGTTATTGGAGTAGGTTCAGTGGAATAGATTTATCTAGACTCCGCCTATCAGGAATAAGATGTTATGTACATTTTTATTCATATAAAGACCTTTCATTATTATTAATTTATCGTCTTCAGGTGCTATCAGTGAAAGCTACTAGCCCTACCAGCAGCAGCGGCCAGTCATCCTCCGTATCCGGTTACAACGGCTCATCAGGTGGGTACAACGCGGTACCTCCACCGCCGCCGCCCTCGGAGGCCTCGGGGTACGGCAGGAGCGATAACGGTGCAGGAAGTGGATACTCCAGGCCGGACAACTTTAGCAGAGGCGGAGGAGACAGCTATGGGGGCAGGGACTTTGCCAGGCCGGATAGTTTTTCCAGACCTGAAAGGTTTGGCAGGTATGTTGTCTAATGCAAATAATACATAGTCACCAGTAGAAGAACCACTCCGGCGAAAAAACAGTCCAGAAAGTATCTTCGCGTCTGATCGGAAAAACAGTTTTTTTGCATACCTTAATAAAAAAAAATTGAAGCAATTTTAGGGCTGGCAGATTCATTAAAACCGGCGTTTTTCAATAAAAATATGCGAAAAAACAATTACGATATTTTTCTTAGTAGATCCGAAAATACTTCCTGTACAGGGTGGCCAACTAAGTACTGTATCTGGGAACCTATCAACTGAAGAGGCTTGCGGCGAAAAAAGTTCTTACTAAAACGGCCAAGAGAAAAATCTGGAAATTATTTTCAAGTTTGTGAAATGGTCGCTAGGGGGCGTAACTGCAATCTTGAATCTAAAAAAGTGATGTTTCTGTGAATTCCGCTATATTAACCTAACAAAAAATACCTTATCTTTGAATTCGAGGACAATGTGAACCTTTTATGTTTGACAATTTTTGCAGTATCTCTAAAAATAAAGTGATGGGGGTATTCAAAGGTTTCCGTAAAGAACACCCTGTATCTTCGAAACGGATGATCCGATTTTAACAAACTTGGGCTAGTTGAACAGAGCTATTCAAGGGCTACAAATTTTAATATATTAGAAGTTTTGTTACATGTGGTCTTTAGAAGGTTTTTTTCGACATTCCCTCAGATATGGTTAATTTTCTCAAAAAAATTAAATGCATTGGTATGATCTTTTTATGAAAAAGTAGCTAAATGATGTCTAAATAATAAGCTCGCGAAAATAGTATCTTGATATCTTGTAGCTAACCAGAATTTAGGCCAAAGAAAATTTTATGCGGAAATCTCGTAAATTTTGATTTTTTTAAACTATTTTTTCTGGAATCCTTTTTTATCCATCAGAATAAAATCACCCTTTTTGAAAATATTACAAAATATCGCTAAAAGGTAAGTAAGTAGTGCTAATAACAAAAAGCATATTTTTTGTTTAAATACATATTTACTAAGGGTATATACGAAACCATGGCATACAACAAAACAAATACCTAATCAAAACATAAATAATCCTCAAATTGCTAATAGTTCGCGTTACTTTGAGCAATTTTTGTGCTTAGCAAACGCGTTTTACGAACTATGAAGCTGTTGACATGCTTGCTGTTCATTGTGAATGTCTTCAGAATGCCGCAGTAGCAAAAAGAGCTTAAGTGACTCGATATCCAAATGGGCGTCTTTGCGAGGTTTTCCCCGATTAGTGGCGAACTTACGAGCAAATTGTAGTTTTCGGATTACGCTTCAATGACAAAGAATTGGAAGAACACGAGAAAATATTAACTACGTACTTGGATATATTGAAGGAAATCCTCATGTTATCACAAGGGCATTATCCCTTGAGTTGGGCAAATCACGAACAACGGTTCAAATGTTTTCAAGGATCATAGGTAAGTTCTAATGGCCATCAAAATATAGGGATTTATTTAAGTTTAACTTTTTTTCAATTACTTTTGCACTTATATCATGTCGTTTTGCATGAGGCCTTGAAAGAGGAAACCTTTGATCGGAGTTTGGACTATTGCCATTAGATGTTAGGCATATACGCAAAAATAGAGAATTTTTATTCCAAACTCTTTGGACCAATGAAGCCACCTTTAATAGTAACGGGAGAGTCAATCTGCACAATATGCATTATTGGTCTGCAGAAAATCCGCATTGGCTGCGTGAAGTTCAGCACCAAGGGCTTTGGAGTTTAAATGTGTGTGTGGCATACTGGGAGGCAGAATTTTTGGGCCAGAGAAGATATGAAAAACCGGATTCGTAATGCAGTACGTAACATACTTAGAGTCGGAGTTGAAGCTGCAGTTTTGCCTACCCATGAGAGGCTTCAGGAATGCATAGAGTGTGATGGACAGCATTTCGAGCATCCATGGGGCCATTAAAAATCGTTCCTTTTTAGAGCCACAACTTAATAATAAAAATCATTTAGCTACTTTTTCATAAAAAAAATCATACCTATGCATTTAATTTTTTTTTTAGGAAAACCATTTCTGTCGGAATTTCGAAGAAAAGCCCTCTAGCGCCCACATCTGAAACTAACAAAGCTTCAAATATTAGAGCATTTGTAGCCCAAAGAATAAAATTTCACATTTTTAACATTAGATAGTTAATCTAGGCCACATACGTGATGCATTTCGTCGATTTGCTGGCAGTACTTCTCCGCCGTAATCGTTTCGCCCGGATTTAGAAAGCTCTGGTGGATGCATACCACCAGTTCTTTGGATGGAGTTTCGGCTCTGGGAAGTGTTGTGGAGCCTCGTCGCTGTCCAACGTCGCCTATTGTTCTAGAGGAGGGTCGTTTTTGTTTCCGAACAACCTAATAGCAAACCGTTAATTTTATTTTAAAATCTGCTACACGTATAATAATAATAATAATAATATATATATATATATATATATATATATATATATATATATATATATATACAGGGTGACTTTGAAGTTGAGTCATTAATTTTCAGATAATGATTGTAGAAGGAAGATAAACCAAAATATGTGTGTAAAAATAAAAAAAAAATAAAAAAAAATGTTACCTTGTTTAATAAAGTATCCTCCCGACAAGTATTTCAGTGCGGACCTGTATTTGATCGTGCGGTCTTGGAGCAGCATGCCCTCACCTGTGAGGTCTTAAGTCACCTGATTCACGAGCCCTTTGCACTACATTAACAAAGGCACGAGGGGTTGGTTGCACTCGATTGGGAAACCGATTCGCATAAATCCGTGATGCATCCGGGAGCATTTTGTAAAGACTGCCCCCCCCGTAAATAAGAATCATGTCCACAAGTTCAGCATTTTCGTAAACATGTGCCATTTTTTATTTCGTTTGAGCCACGCAACACACTACTATTCACTTACGCGTTATCGACTGACGAAAAACATCGTGATAAACGTTTCAAATTCTTTCGCTTTTTTGTTTCCGATGCGATGAACCGGTCAAGCGGATTATATCCGTTGTCGCCAAACACGAGCATATAATAGGCAGGGCGGTACTCAAACTTCCAAAGGGCTATAACTTTGTTACTTTAATTTTACTAGAAAAATGGTAAAGGAAAAAACATTTCTTTTGATCAGATCTACTCACTGTTAAAATAAATGACTCAACTTCGAAGTCACCCTGTATACAGTGTGAGTCTTCATAAAGTGCACATATCAAAATCAGGGAAACTACACTCTATTTCATCGACGGATAAATCATCAAAAAAAATTAAAAACAATAATTGATTTTTTATGAATATTTTAAAATTTTTAGAGTCAGCTGCTAACCCTATTTAAATAAATCATTACAACTTTTAACCTGAATGTCCTATCATATTGGAATAAATTTTTTAGTGATTGCAAATAATAGGCCGTACCAGTAAAGTGAAAATTTCCACGAAATTAAATGCTATAAATTTAAAATAAAGAGCAATATGCTGAAACTCACTATTTTTTCAATGATTTTTAAAACAATTGCTAAATTTCAATAAAAATTGTCCTATTTACCCTACCTTTTTTAAATGTTAAGTTTCAAAAAGCAGTGAACTCAGTTCAACGCCAGAGTAGGAATAAAACAACAGTATTAACCTACATGAATCATTCATTATCTTTAACAAATAAAATCAAATAGACTTGTCTATAGGATAATCATTTTGGCTTAATGCATCAAATGTTCAAAATGGCCACCCCGTTGCTGCAAGCACATTGTAGCGCGAAGTGAAATTTGATGAGTTGCCCTACGAATCATCTCGGGATCATTTTTGATTTCGTTTGCAACACGCAAAACTTTCTTCCAGTTCCGCTTCGCTGTTTATGCAACTGCTGTACACCCTTTGTTTCATTGTCCCCCATAAAAAATAGTCGAGAGGTGTGAGATCTGGGGAACGTGCCGGCCACCCAACAGGTCCTTGTCGACCGATCCAGCGGCCTGGATAATTTTCATTAAGAAAAGACCTGACAATCAGCGAGTAATGGGCAGGACATCCATCCATTTGAAGCATCATTCTTCGACGGGTTTGCAGCGGCACTTCTTCCAACAGCAAGGGCAGTTCAGTCCGCAAAAGCTCCAGAAATCTCTCTCCGTTTAATGTCCTCGGGAGTATTATTGGACCAATCAAAAAGTTGTCAATCAGTGCGGCCCACACATTTACAGAAAATTTCACTTGAAATGTTGAAGCCCTTTTCAGCCTAGGGTTTTCATCTTTTGGGCACCACTTATGTAAATTACGACAGTTCACGATGTCGTCTCTCGTGAATTGAGATTAATCTGTCCACAGAATTGTTTTCGGGAATTCAGGATTGTCTCTTGTTTTTATTAAAATCCATGTAGACATAACACACCTTGGACGCCAATCCACATCTTCATTCCAGTGCTGCACCCTTTGATAATGGTATGGACACAACCCTGCTTTCCTCAAGATGCGCCAAACCGATTTCTGGGATACGCCATGACGTAACGCCAAACGTCTCGTACTAGTAGTCGGGTCAGCAAACAAATTATCCAAAATGGCTTCTTCGATAGCAACATGAATAATAACACCTGGTTTGCGGCGATCTCGAGGCAAACCAAGTCCAGTGTTAGCCAGTCTTCTAAGTACTTCTTGGAAGTTACGGGCTGATGGAACAGGGCGTCGATTTGGAAATGCAGCTAGATAAGCTGTGCAAGCAGCTCTAGCACTCCCTGGGTACATTCCATAATAATAATGGATATCGGCAATGTGTGCCGGAGGGAAATCACTTATACGTGGCATCGCGACCAAAAAGCGAAAGCGTGATATGTAGCAAACGAAACTGATAAAGTTGGCAGGAGAAACACAAATAGCTGCCTAACTGCCCAACATTCAATTGTTTTTCAACTGGGCCCGCCTCCTCACTCGTACTTCAGCCCGCGTGACTCTACATTGAATCACCAAAAAAGGTATCTACATGATAAACAATGGTGCCTAGCAAGACGATGCGCATGGGCTTTTTTATAAACACTCATAGAAACTGTTACATTTGAGTAATAAACGTGCAATTTTTACTTTTATAAAGCTGATAACATGTAGAATAACTTACAAATAAAAAAGGTAGGGTACAAGGGACGACATTTATAGAAAATTTGAAATTATTGTAAAAATGATGAAAAAAAAACAGGTTTTCATCAAAATTTTCTTTATTCTAAATGGATGTCATTACTTTTCCTGGAATTCTTCACCTTTCAGGCACGTCCTTTTACCAGCAATCACTACAAAATGTATTCCAATATGATAGGACATTTAGTTTAAAGGTTGAAACGAGTTATTGCAATATGGTTAGAAGCTGCTACTAAAAATTTTAAAATATTCATATATTCATAAAAAATCAAATTCATGTTTTTTTGATGATTTATCCGTCGATGAAATAGAGTGTAGTTTCCCTGATTTTGATATGTGCACTTTATGAAGACACACTGTATATAAAACAGTTAGGAAACCAGTTTCATATCAACATATAGTGGGAGAGGCGAAGTTCGGCACATCCGCTCTTCCACTTAACTGCTGGTTTTAGGTCTAAATTGTAATGAGCAAACAGATAAATGTAAGTATAAGCAGTATCAACGGATGGACACTACAGACTAATTTGAGAAATGATACTATATAATGACCCTAAAATCATACCATGCAATTACCTGCAATATAGTAGCGGATACGTTTTTTTAAATAAATCAATAGGAAGAGAAGTACACTCGCGGGATATTATAAACTTTACATATACAGGGTGTCCCGCGAGGTAAGGGACAACATTTTTCTACGTGTTCGTCAGGTCAATTCGAGTGGAAAAAGTCCTATGAACATGGGTCCGCAAATGCTTCCTTATCGAGATAATGATTTTTTTATTTTTACGGTGCTAATGGTGGGAAAACCACAATATTGTTGGAAAAATAGTTTTATTTAACACAAAATACAATAATTAAATAATAAATAAAATTTATTTAACACAAAGTACAATAATAACTATTCACAATAGTGTTTCGTATTGTCCACCTTCACACTGTAAACATAGTCTAGCCCGTTTAATAATGAGACTGGTGGCTTTCCCAATAATAAGACGATTACGTCTTAAGTCGTCAGCGACATCAGTAATTTTACGGAGCAGTTCAGCCCTGTTATGCGATTTCTCTGCATACACTAAAGACTTCATATGTCCCCACAAGTAATAATCCAAGGGATTCTAATCGGGCGAGCGGGGTGGCCAAGAAACTTAGTCACATTTCTACCACTGTGGGGCGAAGCACCGTCATGCTGTAACCACATCTGTTGTCTTTTCTGCAGCGGAATATCCTCATATCCTCTAATAACACAGGCAGTTTTTCTCGTAAGAATTGAATTCTACTGTATTGTGATCGAGATTTATTTTCACTAGTGTCATTGACGTTCTATGGGCAAGCTGTAGAAATGCCCAATCGACATTGAGCATTTCATTCTAGAAAGAGATGATTTTAGAGCTATACGGAAATTTTCCCTAACAGTTTCAGAATTGTACGCATTATTCCCAGTTTTATTATCGATGTTATGAAGTAACGGTTTTGATGAAATGCTACTTTGATAATGTATTTCAATAGCTCTTGCGGGGAAGCTTACTTTAACTTACGCTCACTATTTATTTGTAGATCTGACAACTCAAACTACGGCCGAAACGACAATTTCGGGCGAGATGCCAGACAGAAAGCGACGTCAGGTCGCGGTAGGGAACGCTCCAGGGAGAAGGACAAAGAAGACGATGAGATCGAGAGGAAACGTAGGCGAGAGGAAAGATTAAGAGAGAGGGAGAAGGAGGAGAAAAAGGCATCGCCTGTCAGAAAGAGATCTCGCTCGCCGAAGGCCAGAAGGCGCTCCAGGGTCGTGCCTAGATATATGGTGCAAATACCTAAAATTGCATTAGATCTGTAAGTTCGCTCTTGCTTTTTAGCGGGGTTAGGGTTAGAGTTAGTGTTATAAGTACAAGGTCTGCCGCAAAGTAAACAGGACTTTTGAAAGATATCCGATACAAGTAGCGCCATATATTATAGGAGACTAGCGTTGGATAGGTGCATCTTTTATTGATGTCCTGTCAAAACCACTTCACGCGGAGTTATCGCGCTCAAAGTGACAGTACCTTTTTAGCATCGGTCGAAAAATGAGCATCGAACAAAGAGCCAATATTAGATTCTGTTACCGAAACGCATCAGATGTTGATGCAAGTGTATAGTGATGATTGTTTATCTCGTAGCCGAGTCCACGAGTGGTTTACACGGTTTAAAGAGGGACGTGAGTCGCTGGAAGACGACGAACATGTCGGCCACCAAAATTTGAGATTACGCCAGAAATCGTCGAAAAAGTGCGTGAATTTATCAAAAATCATCCAAAATCTTCATTGAGATACGTACAAATGGATTTAAATATCTCTAAAGATTCAATCCATCGCATTTTGACCAAGAATTTGGGCATGACAACGGTGTGTTCAGGGTTTGTTTCGCGCAAGCTCACGGATAACCAAAACTTGTTTCGAATTCAACATTCGAGAGACAACCTTAAATGTGACTAAAAATTCAAAACCTTCCTGTACAACATTGTGTCTGGTGGCGAAACGTGGTGTTTTCAATACGATCCCGAACCCAAGCGTCAAAGTGCCCAAGCGAGCCAAATCCTAAAAACACCGTCTGGAAAAGTCCAAAGTGAAGACAATGTTGATTTGTTTCTAAGATTCGAAGGGAATTATTCACAGAGAATTCGTTCCACCGGGGCAAGCTTTTAATGCTGTGTTTTATCTTGGTATTATGAGGCGCTTGCTGTCGCGTATTCGTCGTGTTGGGCTTCAATATCGCGAAGAAGGAAGCTGGCGCTTGTTACACTATAATGCACTATCTCATCGATCGACGCTTGTATCCGATTTTTTTTACAAAAAAATAGCATTTTAACCGTTAACCACTCCCCATAACATCGTGATAAGGCACCCCGTGACTATTCTCTGTTCGGTACACTACATTTGGCCATGAAGGGACAGCGGTATGCCGAGGTAGAGGCCATCCAAAAGGCGTCGACGACCATTTTGCAAATTGCTGTACTAACTCTGAAGGAGACTATTTTGAATCAAATAAATTCAATTTTTCCAAACAACATTTTGTTTTCTTTGTTCTGTTTACTTTGCGACAGACCTTGTAGATCGGTTTTTTTGGTTTTATGTGTGTACCTCATATTTTCCTGTATATTAAAAATATGCCAAATAATCATCCGGGTCTTGTCAGTCTGCCTCATGGCCCAATTTTGTTACCCCTACTGCTTAACCAAGGTTGATATGCCGTAGATGAATCAAGAAGAACGTTTGTCGGAAAATATCTCAATTCCTAAAAAAATGTTTCCTATTAAATTTTGGAAGCTATCCTTAGCACAAGCTAATAAAAATAATGTTACTTAAGTGGCGAGTGCCTTTCAAGACATACTCAAGTGTATTCGATTTTCCGAAACAAAAAATATTTGTCAATTTTTATCTTTGTCCTGTTTACTCTGCGACAGACCATGTAGTTCGCCAAAATCAACTATGGCCAACTGAGATCCAAAATTAGCCTCACTTTCAATGCCTAATACGACAAAATTATAGAAACGGTCAGATTTCAACCAACATGAGTTTTCGCTTATCAGCAGCCGTCAAATACATTCATCTGAAGAGATTAATGGTATAATGCTGCCTAGCTACGTGCTAAATTGAACTGGTCCCAAAATATCGCTTGGGAGTATTAGAAACTCTAATTAATAATAATAATTTATTCACATCAATTACAAATTGATATGCCACAAAAGGAAAATATCCTTACATGTGTATATCATGCTAACACAACATTCATATAACATAGCAGTTATAATAAACTGATAGGACTAAAAATAGTCTATAAAAAATAAAAAAAAGATACTTGTTTTTATTTGACAAAGTTGATTATGTACACTAGCACTCGGTGGATGTAGCAAAGTGCTTAAACCCTATTTCAAGAGTATCCATCACGTTTTGACGTCTATTGAGGTGAATAGCTGATCAGTAAGTGACATATTTGTATTGGTCTGTGACGTTGGCGATAATGAATCGGATGTAAATTTAGTAAAACTTGTTTGTAGCGTTTTTATGTATGCAAATGAACTTTTCCAAATAAAAGGGTTGTTAGCAAGTAAAAAATGAATCTGTAACGTACAAAAAAGCAAAACAAAATACGGCTCTGACTACCTGGCGTTGACGGATCCGTTAGAATTATGTGTCATTTGTCGATATGGAGAATTTTGAAATATTACTAGATAATCAGCTGTTATTCAACCGTAATGGATACTGCAATAGTTGCTCAAGATTTAACAGGTTATGTTCTATGACATCATCTAAATAAATTTAGTTGCTCAATTAAACCGGTCTCTAGACAGTGTTTTGCTGCGCTGAGCGCTAATGAACGAGACTTCTTTTGGAAAAAAATGGTTTATATATTTGAGCTAAAACCCGCATAAAATACTTCCACCCATTCTGCATTGAAAATACACTGAAGTTTTCCCTTGAAAATCATGTGGAGTGCATTATGAGAGTAATTCTCCATAGTATTATCTGAACAATAGTCATGTTTTATCTTTGTTCAGTCTCATTAGTGGCGTAGAAATTCAAAATATCCTGTATCTTGATAATGGAGCATTTTACTTCCTATGTTTATCCAGGGTGGCCCAACCAAAAGGTCGCCCCTCCATTTGTGTGGGGGGGGGGACCTGGTATATTTTGGGAAAAATTCTCGGACACGTCAATTTTGATTTCTAGGGGGGCTTTTTTCATCTATAGCCGTACAATACAGGGTGATCCAAAAGCAAGATATTGCATTACATTTTAGATTTTGAAATGCAAACCCCCATTCATTTTAATTTTTAGATTTTCCATGAAGTTTTTAGTAACTTTTGTATAATAAAGTTAATACCTATCTTCAATCGTTGCGAAGCTATTTTAGTGTATAATAAAATTCGATTAACTTAATACTGATAATAGTGGAATGCACGGCAAAAAATAATAATCATAGATACCATCAAGAACATTTAGCATCAGTCAGTGTCATCGTGTCATAGAAAAACTTCGTCTTTCATTTCAAATTGTTAAGTTACCTACCTAGTTGTGATAAAGATTGAACAATGACTTATTCAATTCAAGAAAGGATAGAAATAACAAAACTGTTCTAGTCCAGTTAAATAGCCGAAACTGAGACAAAAGTGATAACATAGCCACAAAGTTATTTCCGCTGGCGTAATGGTGTAATAAAGGATTGCGAATATTGTTGTGTGAATTTGGTTTTCCGGAAACCAGCCGTTTTTTGTAAAACAGCGAAAAACCCGAAAAACCTCTTTTTCGCTGAAACGGCTGAGGACATCTGGGATTTTTTTACACGTAAATTTTTCTAATTTTTGGGCCATCAATAAAGGTCTCTACAAATTTTTCGCTAAATTGCTTAGTTTTCGCGCTACAGCTTGCTGATGGCTTGTGGGCGAGGGGGTTTGCGGGGAAAGGGACGCGCGTACACCTGTCGCCAGACGCCGCACCGTTGAAGCGGAACAATCCTCTTTTATTTCGACGTCCTCAGTGTCTCTCTCTCAGTGATAGGCCAGTCGATTTCGAATAATAATCTCGTTTGTAGTTGTGGCGTTCACCGACTTATGCATATTAATGAATTTTTGAAATTTCTGCGTTTAGAGTACAAGATGCAGTAATTTTTCTTCAGCCGCTTACCGATTGACTGGATAAGTGAGGTATAATATTTTCATTTAGAATTGGAACAACAATAAAAAACCTACAGCTGCAAAAAAGGTGCGAACGTGTATATAAATGAGTGGCAATGATAAGAATACATTACAGGATGTAGAAGCCCAATGAGTCATCAAAAGACTCGCTTTCGAGGCTCCACGTTATTTTCATAGTTATCCTCGCAAATCAGTTTGATCACCGGTAGTTGTTAATCTACAATCATGATAAGAGATTTAGCAGTTTTTGAGCCGCATCTATACGTTGGTCTGACCTACGCCAACGCAAATATGTAAAGAATAGACAATGGCCGATGGTGATGAGTATTTGACGATATCTTCTCTGCACACTCGCTGTGGAAAAACATTACTCCATTATATTTTAATCGAGATAAGAAATTATGTACAAACCATTAATTGGAAGTTGCATCAATTTTTTATATTTTCTATTTTGATAGAGTATAACAAATTATTTTTGTGTTCAAATATGTTTGTTTTACATTTGTTACTTTACATTTCACACATATAGTTGTACAAAAACCCTCACTTGAGCCAATGAAACCTACAATAGCATGTAAGAGGAATTGAAAGTATATACAGTTCAATGTTATATCCACCCCAATCTGTTACAAGTAGGATAAATCATTGAAGGTCAAAGTCATTAAAGTCCTTCGTTAATTTCCTCGTCATCGGTCGTTGCATCGTGGCTGCTTGATGAGGTCTCATCATCTTCTGTTAAGTCCTCATTATCGGGTTCTACGGTAGTTTGTCCACCGTCCTCCTCACATGCATCTGTAGTAGTCTGAGTTTCGCTATCATGGTGTTCTGTAGCAGTCCATCTCTTTGAGTTGTTGCACGATTTTCCTCGGCATACTTTGCAAGCAGGGTTGCACTTTAGACCGGCTTTTCGGCAGTTACATCGCTTCGATTTGCAGGGCCCTTGGCATCCACAGGAAACCTGAAAAAAGGTTATCATAAGAATTATTATAATCTAAATATCAGTTGTCTTGTAAGGGAAATCAATGACAGGCCCTTTATAGTGCTCCATAGATCAGTCTAAGAATTTGTTATTTTAACTTGAAACTAGATCTCACATTGTTCAAAAATTATTTTAATTCCGGTCAGACAGTACATGAGATCAAAAGTGTAGTAAAAATTAGTT